AAACCTTAGGTGACAACCCCTCCGTTCAAACCACCTGTTTCCCTGTACGTTCTGCCTTTTTAGGCAAAGGCTATAAGAACGTAACTTCAAAACAAATCCGCCCCTGAGAGATGGAACCCCAACATTCCCGATGCTAAAAGGAACCCTAAGATGGAGGCGAATGCTGACCACTGTAGTGCAAAATGATGTTAGACATTTTCATGACGGTCGTCCTCGAGTATAGAATCCAGAGGTTGGCAGTGAATATTTCGGAGTGCAGGTTCGCAGTGGATATCGCAGCAAGGTAGCAGAGCGTAGTTCTTCCGTCTGTCCTGTTCGCCGGACGAGTTTCCTCTGGTCAGGTTGGTAGGAAAACAAAGATGGACGCCTTTATACACGACGGATACAGTGTTGTGCGGCTTCTGATTGGTCAACCTTCTATTGGCCGACTATAAAGGGAATTAAGTCATTTTGACTCGCTCACTAGTCTGTGAGAGAGCAACTGTAGACGAGATGCCAGAACAGGGCCAATTGCATTGCATATCTGTCTCTGGATCTTATCAAGAACCCCCAGGCAAACAGGTGGCTCCAGACCATATATGGCAGCAATACTACATGGAGGAAGCCGAATATCTACGTGTATCTAATAGGGACACTCTTATCATTTTTTGTATCTGCTGGAGGAACCAAACTCATATATGATTAATTGAGGCGCATTAACCATCATTTTCTTGTTGGGTAGTGTTGTAACATACCTACGGACGATAATGAGTATGTCCCCATTCACAGTAGTACATACAGACATAGTACAGACCAACATACAGTAGTAAATACTGTATGTTGGTCTGCAGTTGGAGATTCGTCTCCAGCTGTGCTGGTCAAACTCTCTGCCTCAGGGGTCTGCGGGGAATTTTTGGCGGAGACTAAGGGCTCGGATACCCCACAATAAACTCGGCCTTGTGCCACATCTGACTGCGTGGGGCCGTTGGTAGATATTTTGCTGTTGGGAATCGTCTCCAGCTGTGCTTGCTAAACTCTATACCTCCGGGCAGAAAGGTTCCCCAAACGAAGGGCAGAGTCTAGTCTTCGGAAACAGCTACCCGGCCACGTTTTATACGGAGTGTACGGGGAATATTCGGCCGAGACTACGGGCTCGGATACCCAACACTATACTCGGCCTTGTACCACATATGTCCGCGTGGGGTGGTTGGTAGATGTTCTGCAGTTAGAGATTCATTGTGGAATTCACTTGACTCAGTTCTAGCAGTTGACTACTACTTCTACGCACCGCTGGCGAATCTTATATGTGTTGTTCTTGTCCTAAGTATTATCGTTCATGACCAACCTTCGTATGATTATTCTGTTCAGTAACCTTCTCTAGGTTACAACAGGTAGACTCCGTGTTATCTTTGAACATTGAAAAGAAAACAAATAATTCAAAACCATACCATAAATGACTTCGCATTTCGACACGAACTTGATTTACTTTCATTTTCTAAACCGATTCGATTTGCTTAATACGAACTATTTACAACTATTGTTCGAATATCTATGATTAGAAATAATAATTATTTATATTATTGACTGTCAGACTGATGTCCCTATCTTTGTTGTTACGATGCTGACATTCTGACCGTTACGTCTTTCGGGTCCGTTGGCTCATTTTGAGTATTTAATTTCTCGGGGCTTCTTTACTTATTATAAACCCAGACAGGTTCAGCCGGTTTGTTTCTGACTGCTGCTAACAGGGTTTTTGAAGATTCCGATGACAAGAATGGTGTTATTAACTGTTTCATTATCTTAGACAGCGCTGAATCATTATGACAGATTGAATGTTACTGAGACTTTGGCAAATTTTATATCTTTCTCTTCAAACATTTTTTTAAGAAAATAGGTTTCTTAAGTTCAGTAGCTTTTATTCCTCTTTCCACTATATATATATATATATATATATATATATATATATATATATATATATATATATATATATATATATATATATATATATAGAGAGAGAGAGAGAGAGAGAGAGAGAGAGAGGGTGGAGTAATGGTTAACGGCTTGGATTGAGGAATCGGAGAGCCGAGTTCAAATTCCGAGCTAATACCCTCTTCTTCTCCCTCCAGCTATGGGTTAAATAGCAGGACAGACTGGGTTCTATATCCTTGGATGTCAACTCGTCTAGGAGAAGGTTAACTCTGAATTCAAAAACCAGCGGAGGGTTGTTTGGGGACCTTGTGCCACTTAGTGCACCAGGTCTCTGTATTCGGCTCTTCAAAAAGTGTGGCTGGTCCTGCACGAAACCTTCACCACTATAATCAAATCTCATGTGCTGTTGTCGGGCTGTCGGTTTCCTAGAACTGATCTGTTTGACCCTCATACGTCGAATTCGACGGGAGAATCGACTATATATATATATATATATATATATATATATATATATATATATATATATATATATATATATATATATATATATATATATATATATATATATATATAATTAATGAAAAACAGACCACTTTAAGGTACCATTACAATAATTTATTTCACCAAAATCCTTTTTAAAGGACTCCGGATCATCAGGTAACACTTCCAACAATGAAATGAAAGGAAAAATGGGATTAGAAATTGATGGGTAGTGTAATTTTTGTAATTAAACAGGGAGGGTGAAAGTGGCGGTTAAAGAGACAATACAGAGTATAGGGAGGGTTAAATTTATAGCTCTCTTAAATAAGCTTTTTATTGGGGTAGGAGGAGTGACCTAACCATGACCTATTTATATGGTTAAAAAAAACGGAAGTGATATGTAGGAATAGTGAGGAAAGGAAATAAAGTAAAAGGAAAAAAGAGAAAAAAATGGAAAAAATGCAGACGTATCCAAATGTGTTTTATGGCAAAGAGAGAGGGGGAGAGGGAAGTGAATCGAAAGAGAATAAATTGGATTTACCAAGTTCTTCATAACTTAACTATATATATATACATATATATATATATATATATTAAGAAATGGACAAGGTCCGACAATTTATTTATTAAAGACAAGGTCGAATTTATAAATTTATTTCGAATTTATGGAGTTTATAAGCAGTAAATTCGACCTTGTCTACCAAACGCTTCTTTGTAGCCTAAGCGGTAAGGCACGTCAGCGTATATGACGGTTCCGTTTAGGATGCAGGTTCGAATCCTGTCAAAGAACGAATATTTTCTATGAAAATTTCTCGGACATTCAGGCCGGTAAATGTTATTTAATACTGTTTATCATAAACAGAGCATTTGCTTAAATACTTGTATCTATAAAATAACAACGTTAAACATAAAATATGTCTTTAATAAATATATATATATATATATATTCAAGTTTCGTTTCGTATCTATCTATATATGCATACATCCTTCTGCAAATTAATTGAAACAAAACTTAATAATAATTGAATAATTCCGTTACTGTTTACTTTGTTTTCATATTTTCCCAATGAAACATGACCCAGTGCACGAAGTCGTTCCTTGCAGATTGACTACAGATTCTCGATTGGATTTAAATCAAGAGAGTTTTCGGGGCCAGTCTATAGTACTTTGATTTGCTCACTGTTAAAGATTGCACTTGTGTTCGTGCAGCGTTGCGACGTTCGCACGCTTCCTTGGAGTAACGTCCATAGCAGACAATGGCCGTAGGACAACTAATCGACAGTCGAGACAATAGTGTCTGAGCGTGATGAAAATCTGATGCACTCACAGATGACGCAATATTTTTCAAGGTCAAACGAATTTCATAATACACCCCGAAAATAGCTTCATATTATTGCACAACACTGCAAATGACCTAATCCGAGGGAAAAAATAGAAATTGATTACACCCTGTCACTCTAGTGGGTTTAAACTGACCGCATTTTGAAAGAAAGGAAACTAAAGCTGTTGTTTCAATTAATTTGCATAAGGGTGTAGCTTCTGTTATTTTGTACAGTTCTTTGTTTGTGAATATGTAGCGCCAGTCTTCAATGTTCAAAGGAAGGTGGCGTTTGGCAAGACCCAAATATGGTGATAATTAATGAATCGTTAGTAGTTATAAGTGAATGCGGACTATATGGAGATAGTTATTCGGCTGTCGAATATATAAGCGATTGCTACAAAGTGGATAGAAAGAAGCAAACAATCATTCATGACTGGGTAGGAAAGGTTACCAAGCGAGAACTGTGCAAGTGACAGGTATTTGATCGCAAGAAAACAATGGCAAATACACCCCCCCCAAAAAAAACAGTGTTTCTCAAATAGAATCTCGTCTTATCTTAGATTTTAAGAATGAGTATCAACCTCCAGTATGTTCCCGGGGATTAGATTTCGTCAGCGTTGAAAAAATAAAGACAGTTTGTCAGATAAAGGATTTTTGCTGTTTCAGCAGAACTGCGAATGCATTTGAATGCAGTTGAAGGAAGGTGAAAGCGGGAAAATAGCAAGAAAATACAAGTGAACAGAAAATGAAACATATCAAGAGAAACGCAAAGATGACAGTTGCATCAATCTTTGTTGGCGCGCTTCGAAAAGTCCCGAAGAGATTTGCGAAGAGATTAGAAGAAAGGGAATTCAAAAGATGATTTGAAAACAACAAAGTACACAGAAACGGCGCAATCAGTCCCCAGCCCATCCCACCGGCACAACCAAAGAACAGTGCGAAGTGCTTTGTGGGATCGAGAAAACTTGCTGTCACTTGCTGTGGTTTACCAATGGGGTGGACATTCGTAGAAGACAGCTCACGCGTAGGGAATGTATTTACAAGAACAACAGGCACAATGATGCGATTTGTAACAAAACGAATACTGACGATGATGATGTTGATGATGATGACGACGAGGAGGAGGAGGAGGAGGAAGATGCAAATGAGGAGGGGGAGGAGGAGAAGGAGGAGGAGGAGGAGGAAAGATTAGCTTTTGTTGTATTATTTGAGCTTAGGCCGGCTCAAGTGGATTGCCTCCACCCACTGACTTTGTCGAGGAAGTCAGATTTATAAATTCTGCTCTTGCTGACTACCAGAGGATTAGCCGAATGATGGAAAGGGGAAGGGTGATGAAAGAAAGAAAGAAAGAAAGAAAGAAAGAAAGAAAGAAAGGAAGGAAAGAAAAAAAAAGAAAGAAAGGAAGAATGACGAGATGAAGAAAGAAAGAAAGAAAGAAAGAAAGAAAGAATGACGGGAGGAAGAGAGAAAGAATGAAAAAGAAGCTGAAGAAATTTACATATGCGCTATACACGATCTTACCCATAAATATAGTATACCTTAAAACTATATTTTTATCACATATATATGTGTGTGTGTGTGTGCGTGCGCGTGTGTCTGTGATGTGTGTGTGTGTGTAATGTGTGTGTGTGTAAAAACTTGAAAGTGGACAGTGAGGTTTGCGTTCAACGATACGACAGATGTCTATCGATGTTGACCTCAGTATCCATATATATATATATATATATATATACACGCACATACATGCATACATATATATATATATATATATATATATATATATATATATATATATATATATATATAAAAGAGAGAGAGATGAACAGATAGATCAATAAACAGATAAATACCAAGTTGAAATATAAACACAAATATTTACATATATTTGAGCAGACTCGTCTATAAATATACTGCCCGTCAAACGTGTAAATTTTTAATTCATTTTTTCGTTTCGTCTTTGAAAGTAAAGTCTGAGGATCCAGAGTAAAAGCATCACTCTCTGGTGAATTAAATTATTATTATGGAGCCTTAAAATGGTCTGTTTATATTTTAAATTGAATTATTCGCTCTGATTTAACATTGAGCTCTCAGGATTTAATCCTCCTTTGGGTTATCCATACGGATTACCAAGATTTTCGTTACTTAATTATATATATATATATACATACATATATATATATATATATATATATATATATATATATATATTAAAAAGAAAGAAGAAGAAGGTGCCGCAAACGTTTTTTACAGGTTGTAATGTGGATTTATTTAAAAAAAAATTCCACATTACAACCAAAAACGTTTGCGGCACCACTTTTCTTCTTTTTAATAGACATTCTTTTTCTCTCGTTGGAACCACTACAACATATTTCTTTTATATATATATATATATATATATATATATATATATATATAGATAGATTTCAACAGACTTAGATAGATAGATAGATAGATAGATAGATAGATAGATAGATAGATAGATAGATAGATAGATAGATAGATAGATAGGCAGGCTAGAATAATGAATGAAATCGTTTTATTAAAACCATAGGAACAGACTTCCAAAATATAAAATAAATTAGAAACATAGACCCTCTCATAAGAAAAAAAGAGAAAAAAAAAAGAGAAAAATAAACGCTACAAATCGAGGCGAAAAAGAAACTAGAAAAAGATTTAAAATGAATAAAATGAAAATATGATGGACTCCATCGTTCATAAAAGTTGCATTAAAAACTCGACTGGGAGAAAAACAAATGGATATCTGAAAAGAAGACAAAAGAAATTATGTTCATCTTGCCTGAACTTGTTTTTTTATAACCTAATCTCCTCTTCGTCTTTTTTTTTTATCAACGTCTTAATACGTCTCTTTCTTTGTTTCTCTCTCTCTCTCTCTCTCCGTTTCAGTTTTCTTTTGCCACTCTCTTTTAGGATAACATCTTTTTTGTTTTTAATCTGCGTTTCCATTGAAACTAGGTCGGTGGCCGGAGAAGAGTTTTTTTGACAGTCCGTGTGAGGTGTTTGGGCTTGGGGAATGTCAAGCGATCAATCAAGGAAATGCTTTCGATGTACGCGGAAGATCGATCAGATTCGCCAAGCGTAACTACAGTGATGTCAAAAAAAAAAAAAAGAAAAAAAAAAAAAAAAAAACTTCTTCAATAGGATTTTCTTTTTATCGAAATGTTTTCCTCATTTCTTTTGTTTTTGTTTTTGTATTAATATTGCTACATTTTTTTTTTCGTCCTGTTTGATAAACTTTTTCCTATTCGGTTTACGAGATGACAATGCTCTTTCTCTCCTTTTCATTTTTCTTTCTCCATCCTTTCTTTGTCACTCATTTCATTCGCTGAGATCTTCATTCAGTCAAAATTCCTTTTATCTCATTCGTTTCCCGTAGCCTCCATTTTGACATCACACACTCCTTTCTTTTTATCATTATTTAAAATGGCGTCTAACTCGTTCGAACATGTCAAAACTATCATCTACAAGCACTTTCTTACATCCCCAATACACACTTTTAATTGTCTCTTTTACTGACAACAATACATTTTCCCTTATTACATCGTATAATTTTCTATTTTTACTTTCCTGTACTACATTGTCTAAGATCTCTTTCATATTTATTTTGGGGTCTGCCTTTAATACAGTAGAATCTAAACACAAAAATGTCCAGGCTGTCATCAAAATATAACCATTTTCTCAGATGAGTGTTTTAAAAAATAGCTTTAAGCAAATAAATCTTTTTTAAAAAATTTAGAAAATCCGTCACTAGAACTTTTCCATAGAATCACAAACGGCTTTAAGAAACAGCAAAAACTTATCTCTTGAAGACTTCCCACAGCAACAACAAAAATATATTCGCTTTCTACACAACCTTAAACAATCGCCCTGGGTATGACGATAGGGTCCCTGCTATGGGCAAATGGTTAACACCCAAACTTGTGTAAAAATAGGTTTTAATACCAGAAATACTTTGTAATAAAAAAATTATTACCAGCAATAATTTTTGACGAAAAAATTATCATCAGCAATACTTAAAAAAAAACAGCAGCAATACAAACAATTACACATTCTTTGAAAAAAATATGACCAGCTATAGATTTTTTCAAGGAAAATTATTCCCAGAAACAGATTTTAGAGAAAAACATATTACCAGCAATAAAAAATTTGTCGGCATTAAATAACACATTGAGATTGATATGCCGTAAAAAAAACAAAAAAAAAAAACAAAAAAAAACAAACCAAACAACCTTAAAGAAAAGTGTAGCAAGGAAACTCCGACCAACACTTGAAAGAGCAACTGGCATCTCGTCTGCAGTTGTTCTCTCACAGACGTGCCGTCGCCTCCCTCTGTCTTTTTTTACAAATACTTCCACGGTAACTGCTCCCAGGAGCTGCTTTCGCTGGTTCCCAGACTTCATGAATTTAAACGTTCTACTGGACTGATATCTCGCTCACATCCTTTCACAGTAGAACCGTTAAATGTAACCGTCTCTTCTACTCTAATAGCTTCATGTCTCGCACCTCTCACCTGTGGAACTCCCTCTCCTTTTCCTGTTTCCCTGATAGCTATAATCTCCAACTATTCAAATGTAATGTCAATCGACGTCTCCAGATGCCTTGATCTATCCCCTATCTTTCTCTTCATCCTTTCCGCTATCACTCTTATTTGCTCTCGCTCTAACTATCTGTAACCCCTTGCATGATAGGGGCTTCCCGCCTTGCTTGGGGTGAAACGCTTAAAAAAAAAATAACAGTTACTGAACTTGAAAAGTCTATTTGCCTGAAAATTCTTTCAAGTGAAAGATTTTCTTTATTTCACTGAGGGCAACGCTATCTGTTTGCTCAACGTGCAATGACTATTTCCTGTCCGAGAACGGTTCATTTCACCATTACCATGAGCATTGACAATAATTTATTCATTCCGTCAAGAAATGCTAGCATTTTTTTTTTATTTTTTAACGAAATTGGCATTTCACTCATTGGGAAAAATTTAATTTAAAAAAAAATCATTTTTTTAATATATTCACTGTAATTGTTTGATTCGTTTTTTTACGGATTATCAACCCTTTGCACGTTATGTAAAGTCATAAATTATTTTTATATTATAAGAATTATTTTTCTTTTTTCGAAATAATAAAGGTTTAGTGATATAACTTTTACTAATTAACCCATGGATGAGGGGAAATTGGATTCATGCCTTTCGCAAGATTAGCAGTACATAAGGGAATATAACGAAGCTAACGGTGATTGGAACTCGGTTCACACAATCAGAAGAACCCCGACATGACTGTCAGAGAATTTCTGCGATCACATCACTCCTTACATCTGGCCACCTAACCCCCCAGACTGCAACTTCCTTGATTATTATTTGTGAAACGCAGCTGAGCAAGAGACCAAAAAACTCCTAGTAATAAAAAAACATGAACTGTCGGCAAGAATTATGTCTACCTTCATTAGCATAAATAAAGAGACAGTCCAGAAGAGTTGTAGAAGATTCCGAAGTCGTCTGGAGGACGTGATTGAATTCAATGATTTTATTGAAAAAATTTGCTCTTTAGTATTTCAAGAAATTTTAGTTTAATTTTGGTAAATATATCTGTTAAAATGAAATGTCAGTGTTATATTTATTTTTGCGTAACTTAGACGACAATTTATTCATCACACTGTTAGGGGACCTTACCCATAATAACATAATGGACTATTCCATACGTAATAAATACTGCGCCTCAAGAGGAAGCAGGGAGTTCAGTCCGAAGTCGGACGTCCGGCTGACCGGCTGATCGGTTGAACTCTCTGCCTTCGGGCGGGGAGGAACCCGAACAAGGCTACGCCGAAGGGCGGGGTCTCTTTCGGGGAGGTAAACCGACCCTGAACCCGTTTATACGGGTCAAATGGCATATTTTGGCTGAGCTCACGGGCTCGGAGATCCCACGTTAAACCGGTCTTGTGCCATATGATGCCCTCTTGAGGCTGTTCAGTCCGAAGTCGGGCGACCGGCTGATCGGTTGAACTGTCTGCTTTCGGCCGGGGAGGAACCCGAACGAGGCTACGCCGAAGGGCGGATTCTGTTTCGGGGAGGTAAACCGACTCAGAGCCCGTTTTTGAGGGTTCAATGGGCATATTTTTGGCCGAGCCCACGGGCTCGGAGATCCCACGTTAAAAAGGCCTTGTGCCACATGACGCCCTCGTGGGAGGGTGACTGAATATCGTTCCGTCTGAAGTCTGGGTTCAGTCTGAAGTCTGGTGTGAAGTCCGCCAGGAGTCTGTCAGTCAGTCAGAACGAGTCAGTCAGTCGAGTCAGAGGCAGTCCGAAACAGAGTCGCGTTCAGACAATTACTACTAAACCTGATTGTTCGTACTAACACTTTCTACTTCTCTGTATATATTCCTGTTTGTAATATATCTGTGTTATTCCATATACGTGTTTGAGTCTTTCTTTATTGGTTCTACCTTGGACTATCACCGTGGTACAAGGAACCGGACCATGACACACCCTATATATATGTGTGCGTGTGTGTGCATATAGAGAGAGATTGACAGACAGACTGCGAAAAAGAAGGTAGGATAGATAGATAGATAGATAAACAGACAGACAGACAGATAGATAGCTAGAAAACGAACACACTGTGATAGATAGCTAGCTAGCTAGATAGATAGATAGAAAAATGAACACACTGAGATAGATAGATAGAAAAACGAACACACTGAGATAGATAGATAGATAGATAGATAGATAGATAGAAAAATGAACACACATAGATAGATAGATAGATAGATAGATAGATAGAAAAAACGAACACACTGAGATAGATAGATAGATAGATTGATAGATAGATAGATAGAAAAATGAACACACATAGATAGATAGATAGACAGACAAACAGATAGATAGCTAGAAAACGAACACACTGTGATAGATAGATAGATAGATAGATAGATAGATAGATAGATAGATAGATAGAAAAATGAACACACTGAGATAGATAGATAGATAGATAGATAGATAGATAGATAGATAGATACATAGATATATAGAAAAATGAACACACTGAGATAGATAGATAGATAGATAGATAGATAGATAGATAGATAGATAGATAGAAAAACGAACACACTGAGATAGATAGATAGATAGATAGAAAAATGAACACACATAGATAGATAGATAGATAGACAGACAAACAGATAGATAGCTAGAAAACGAACACACTGTGATAGATAGATAGATAGATAGATAGATAGATAGATAGATAGATAGAAAGAAAAATGAAAACACAGAGATAGATAGATAGATAGATAGATAGAAAGACGAACACACTGAGATAGATAGATAGATAGATAGATAGATAGATAGATAGATAGAAAAATGAACACACAGAGATAGATAGATAGATAGATAGATAGATAGATAGATAGATAGATAGATAGATAGATGAAAACACATAGATAGATAGATAGATAGATAGATAGATAGATAGATCTGCACATGCCGGGCAACATATGTGAGAGATTTTATTAAAAACCTGAGACAAATGTGAACAGATTGAGTTAAACAGGTTTTCAGGAATCGGACGACACTGATAGGGTTGCATCGAATACAATCTAAAAACGAGAAAAAAAGATTTAAGTTGAGATAAAGACGGATCAGATAATTATGAACACAGGCATTCAAACGGATGAGTAAAGAAGAACTATAACTCATTCCTTTTCTTTTCCATTATTGAAACAACCTAACTTCTGTTCCAACCACCGATACCACAGACGAACAGCCACACCATTAAACAAACATCCAGAAATCGTAACGTGTCTTTTTAAATGTCGCTTCAATGACACAAGTTGCTGAACCTGAAGCTTAAAGTCCTGCAATGTAAAGATTATGTCCACGCTCTTGTTCGGACACAGACGGCGAAACACACACAAAAATGAACGTACAAAACAAAAAAAACCTGCATATATGCACATGTTTTTTGTTGAAATCAATGCAACAGATGTTGCTATAATTTTCCAGTTCAATCTTTCCTTTTCTTGTATTTTTGTGTTTGTCTCCTCCCCGCAAATGGTTTATCGTTTTCTTCGGCAGTCTGTTACTAGTTACTTTTTTCTTTTGTGTCATTGCACATTGTTAAAATTATTGCCTTTTTTATTATTATAGCTGAAATTATGGAAACTTAGATCTCTCCGGCCACACACGCACGTACTTGACCTGTACAAAAAGTATGGGACTATGAAAAGAAAACTATAACACATATGAGTTCGACATTTAATCTCCTCCGAAATAGTCCCCTTTATTCAGTATCGTCTCCAATGTGGGGTGCATTACTGGAATTCCTGTTTTGGGATAGTGAGCAGCTGTCTCGTTGTATTCTATTGGGTTTAAACAAAGTCTTGAAATCTTGTTCCGTTTCAAGTGGGATTTGAGTTTTGGAAAGGGGTTAAAGTCGTAAGGTGGCCGTCAGATATAGGGAATGTTGTTATGGGCCAAAAACTGCTGGGAAAGCTATGGTCCCTGATGGAACCTCTGTGGTGTGGTGAGACGATCAAACTCTACACACTTTCTTTCCAAGCACTCCTACGGAGGTGGGCGAGAACTTTATAACTTAGTGTGTACGCGTGACAAAGGTCAAGGTCAATTTGTGCCAAGTGGTTTCACTCTGAGTACCTTAGGTTCATTACCATAGCAACAGTTCCTATACTTTTTGATCACTCATCGAATATATATATATATATATATATATATATATATATATATATATATATTGTGTATATAGGCAGCAATCCTTCTTTCATGCGCATTTCATTGAAAACGACAGACAAGGTGCTTTTATTTAGTTTTTTTATAAAATTTCTCATGCATTCTATTTTTTTTTCTTTTCGGATGATAAATTATATAAAAACTGTCCGAATGTTCTTTTTATCCGAGCGCATTCGGCTATACATTTAACCATTTTCAAAGATTAAGTATTTTAACTGTTTGTTACCTATTCTATTATTAATAGACTCTCCCAAACATAATAAGTAGTAGTAGTAGTAGCGGTCGCCAGTTGGGCTCAGTGCAGTTGAGCGAGTCAGTCGATGTCGGACATGGAAGTATCAACCATCACAACTAGATTGCTGCGTCATTAACTATTATTTCAAGTTCCTAACGTTTTGTATGTCGGACACTTTTAGGACCGACTTATTGGAATACAAGCCTCCACTGTGAAAAACTACTCTACAACACAGTTAAATAAATAGTTTGTTGTATGTATTTTCATAAAATGTTTTAATTTTGTTTTGTTTCAAAACACGGTGAAGATATTATATCCATGTTCAAAGTTAATATTATTAAGTGTTGGTTTGTTTGTTTTTATTAATAAGGCTTCCATTATTTTTAGCCTTTCTTTACATGTAGATGATGCTATTATATTAGTGTTGTCAACAGGTATGTTACGAATAGTGTCCGGTAGGTCTCCATAAATATTTAAATAAGATCTAATTGTGCTTTTGTCAGAAAAGTGTAGAGTTAGCCTGTTTTCCAAATATGGCATATATATATATATATATATATATATATATATATATATATATATATATATATAAAAAACATTAGGCAGCATATGATTTACATACAAAGAATAATCACACATAGAATTAATCAGAAGTATTAATGCGATTATTGGCGACATCCATCGCTAGAAAACATAATATATGCATTAAAATCCTGTTCATCCAGAGTGCGAGTTTTGATCCTTGAAGAAAAACTTGTTGTCTGTAGTTTTTCAGTTTATTTGATGTTAAAATGCTAGTACTTACAGATGGTCTTCCATCCATCACCAGGCATGTGTTGTTTATCTTATAAAATCAAAAACTTGAGACGATATATCTGTATGTCGACCGAAAGATGTTTTTTGAATATCTGCTATTGTTGACGGGTGTGTAAGATCGTGGAACGCGCAAAGACGCAACGCTAAATTTTCAAAATTTTTAAGTGAGAATTTTATTTAAATAT